AACAGGATCGGTCCCATTGTGGGGACATGAGCTCATTACATATTACAATGTAGCATTAAAACATGTTACTGTGTATTTACTGTTGTTTCCAATAGTAACCAATAGGCCAGTAGTTCTCAACGGCTTCTTAGTAGTTCTCCATAGTGGTCTGATCTGTGGAGCTCTTCTTGGTTTGAGATTGAAGCAATGCTGGAATGTGGGGAGGAGACAGTCTACAATTTGCATGACATGGTTCAGATAATAGAGAAGTTGGAGAACAATGGAACTGTTCATTTGAATCACATCACCTCTGTAGGCACAATAGATTGGAAAAGGAGAATAATAATCTATGTAATTCATACTTTTGAAGGAGATATTTTTAACATATCTATACTGCCTATATAGCATGTGACAAGCTATAGAAACAGACTTTCACTCTCCTGTTTTGCCACCTGCATCCCCTCTGCAGGGCAGACCAGTATGTAAAATATATACATAAGTTCAAACAGTGAATATGGTTGAATCAGACCCACAAGGCAATGGACCCCCTTCTGTCCCTGTGCTGGCTATTTGCATCAGAGGTAAGAGCACAGGAGAGGGAGAAGCCTCTGCACAACCACGACGCTCCCTTCTTCTTGGGTGCAGTTTTTCTCTCTCCTCCTTCCTAACACTCCCAACAGTGTAAGTGCATCTGCATGTCAGGGCACACATGCTGCACCAGTTTAGACCCAGTATAGTTTATTCTCATCCTGAAGCAGTGGGGAGACCAGAATTACCATCTTCCTCCACTTGCTGCCCCTTGTTCAGTGCTCATGTCATAGGCATGACTGAACCCTTAGTGACAAGTTTGGAAGTAGCGTGCAGAGACATTCTAAAATACATACCACAAAATGGGGAGTGCATACATTTCTAGACAAAATGTAAGGAAAGTAATAATCAGATTACCGGAACCATCATCAATGAGTTTGAGCTCCACTGCAGATCCAGCCTGTGGTTCAACAGTGGCCATCACAGTTGCACCAAGAACAGGCAAAAATCCTTGACTAACTTCTGCATAAATCACCATTGGATTAGGGAAGTTGTTTGTATCCTTATTCATGTGGGCTTTCACAGTCACTGGAGGCACAGCCAAAGATGCTGCTCGAGACGTTACTATCATTGATATGACTTGAGAGACTGTGTGATTATTTTGAATCCAATATAACCAATCTCCCACCTGCAAATCAAATAGATAGAATATAAAAATATAATGTAAAACTTCATGATTTGAAGGGCAGCTTTGTGTTTCCCTTAGTTAATTATTATCTTATGTT